CAGTCATGGGTACGGGAGAGAGAACCAGAAATCATTTGGAATGATCTGTGTGTGAGGGTGTATGTTTACATACTAGTCACCAATGTGCAAACGAGATCTCATACATAACTACGGCACTTTTATGATTTATTTTGTATTTCAGTTGTAAAAACTCTGTCTACCAGGTTTTCTGGGAACTTAAAGCCTAAGGCAAATGCAAGGATTTTGGAGCTGTATAAAATAATTGATAGCACCTTTCCAGTGAGTCTTGCCCAAACTCTTATTTTATTAATTAAACATCCTGTGGTGATCTGGTATATCTTATTAAATATTTTAAAGTATGACTAGAAAACATGGGTTGTTGAGACTGAAGAAAGCCAGCCTTTCTTTCTGCAGGTCTCTGTTCTCAGGACAGCCATGTTCTCTGCTGGAATGAGACTGTACTGCTGAGAATCCTACACTGTGACAGTTTTGTTTTGTGGCCATTAGGAGAATTGGTGTTGTTGTGAGGACAGACTTAGAGATGGTCATGCTGCTAGAAGGCAGTGTCCTTTACAATGATGTAACGTAGAACCTTGTCAAGAGCCTCTTTTAGGGCTTTTTGCCTAAAAGATGTGTGGGCTCTTAATCAGATGATCCATATTGTTGACAAGGTATTTTAAATACAGATTTTTTTAAAAAAATTTTAATTGAGAAGTGTTTTCCTTTTGGTTGTGGTGAAGAATACCTTTGAGCCCAGCACTCAGGAGGCAGAGGCAGGAGGATCTCTATGATTTTGAGGCCAGCCTGGTTACATTGTGAGTTCCAGAATGGCCAGGAACCTTGTCTAAAAACAACAACAACCAAAGAAAAGTATTTACCTGGGAGATGAGATAATTGATTTTTAAGATTGAATCAGAAGAAAAAGGCTAAGACAGGAGGTTAAAGAAAAGAGTATGCTGTTATGTTCTTAATTTTCTGTCTGAGAGACAGTTCTCAGGGAAAAGGCCTGACAGGTACTTACTACTATTCTTAACGGCCACCTACCTCAGCACTTTGCTAGCTAGTGCTCTTCTTCTGTGGCACTCTGATCTGCAGCTTTGATTTTAGCCTTAAAGGTTAGCTGGCTGGTGACACTGCATTTGGTGGTGAGCTTCTGAATGAGAAGGTGTTTTGGGACATTAGGAGTTACAGCACTGGAGGGTGGGTAAAACATGGATATGTAAATATAAGACTGATGCTGTTTTCCAGTGTACATTATTTTCCATATAAATATATAGAACATTTCATAAAATTCTCCCAGACCATTTAAAACTCAAAGAAATGCAGCTGACGCAATGAAATACAGAGTACTTGTAAAAACATACAGACATGCAAGTGGATTGCTGCCAGACAGAAATTTAAAGGCGGTTTGCTTAACTGCAGGGTGCTATGTTTTGTATGTGCCATGCTGAAGCTGTTAGTAAGGAGGGTGCTGTGTTGCTTGAGAAAAGCAGATTGTCTTTGGACCTTTTTAACTTACATGTTTCCAATGTCAGTATTTTGGTGACATTATGGCATCCTGATCAATTCAATGTGAAAAAAGATTGCAGCCTCTTGTGCAAAATGGATGTTTTAAGACAATTCAAATAAATTATTTGCAGTCTCTGTCTTAAATTTTACAAAATGGCTTTCATAGTTTTATTAACTATCACACTGGATCTTTGAACTAATTGAATGGAATTTTGTATATTGGACTTTGGTCTTAAAAAGCATTGGCTTAAAAAAAAGTATTGTTTTAGAGAATGTTAAGGACTTATAAAGTTTGGTTTTTGTAAACCTCTGGGGCCGTAAAGAACACCAAACAAAAGTCTCATGCTTGAATTGTAGTAAACAATAGTGAGTGTATTGTCCTGGAACATTGTTCTATTAAATTCTGGGACTCTCACTTTAGGGATGCCCTTGGGCATTTATGTTGCCAACGATTGAAGCAATGTTTACTATAATGTGGTTGGGATGGCTGCCTTACTGGCTGCCATAGTCATCTTTACTTTCAGTGTTTCTAACTGGATTCATCTTTTTCATCTATTTTTCTTTCTTAATTCTGTTATATTGTATGTATGAAAAAATCATTTAAAATACCATTTTAAAGCAATGCGTTTCTTATTAATATGCTTTCTTATTAATAGAAGTTTTAAAAAGAGATTTAAAACTTTGATTCCTAGTGTTTATTCCCTCACAAGACGGTGGTAGAAAAATAAGGCCTGTGGCTTTTATTTCTGCTGGTATTTTGTGATTCCCACAAAGCAAAAACTACTGCAAGATAGAAGGTATGCTCTTAAGGATCTAATATGAGGTCATATGTATGATTTTTTTCTGGTTGAAGGGTTATGTTAACCACATGTAACTTGGGAGAAAAGGAGCAAGTTGTGAGTGACTCTTTCCCACCCTCTGGTTCATTGTGTGTCTCAATGACTTAGAGCTGCTGCTTTTGGGTTTGTTTCTAGACTAAAATGTCAGGTAGTTTTACATGTTTCAGGAATGATAGTCACTGCTTTTTTAGCTTTGCCACCCACCAGGTTTGTTGGGCTATCTGTCACACCTTTGTACTAACTTTTCTTTTTTTGGCCCCACACAGTTTGAACATGTATGAATCTAAAATGCTCCAGCATCAGATGTTGGCATTTTGGCTTAAGAATGTTCAGCTCATGAAGTCTATGCAAATATTCCAAAAAATATGAAAACCTCACGAATCTTTAACACTCTGGTCCCAAGCATTTTGGGTAAGAGATACTATCCTTATCTTGCCTGCCAGCATAGCTATTGCCTTCTGGCCACCTGTTTCAGGAGAGCAGAATCCTTGTGTAGTTCACGCCAGCAGACCAAAGACAGGCAACACTTTTTCTGTCTGGCTCAGGAGGGCAGTAGTCCTCAACGGTGCTGCAGAGGGAGCATTACTCTAGAGCTCCCCAGGTCTCAAGACACATCACATTAGTCACATCTTAGTAGTTGAAGGTGAAGTTAAAGAGAGAAGGTGATTTCCACTTGTCTTTTTTTTAATTTCATTTTTTATTATTTCTTTTATTTTTGAGATTATATTTAATTACATCATTTCCTCATTCCCTTTCCTTCTTCCAAATCCTACCCTTCCTTGTTCTCTTTCAAATTCATGGTTGTTATATGCATATGTGGCCATGTATATACAGGTACATTCCTGAATATACCTGCTCGGTCTGTACAGTGTTGCCTGTTGGAGTGTTTTCAGGCTCACCATTTAGTACTGGACAACCAATTGCTGTACTCTTCCCCGGGGAAGGCACTATTCCTCTCACTCCCAGTATTCCTTAGTTGTGTGTCATTTTTTGTATAGAGTTGGAGCCTTGTGGTCTTTCCCCCATTCACTTCGTCTTGTCTACTGTTGTCCATGTTCAGTTTGTGTTTAGGCAGTCATGTTGGTGAGACTGTATGGATATAGCTTCTGAGGTTACTAGGAGACAGTCTCACAGCAAACTCCTGCTTCTCTGGATCTTACAACTTTTTCCACAGTGTTCCTTTAGTCTGTGGGAGTTGTCTCTATAGGGACTGGGACCCACAACTCTGGTTTTTGATTGGTTGTGGTTTTTTGTAATAGTAGCCATCTGTTGCAGAGCTAAGCAGAGAACACCCAAAGAGCCAAAAATGATCTGCATTATGTACCACCTGTATGGGAAACAATATTTTTGGTATTTGTGAGTATTTCTGTTCTTTGGGATAATCTTAGATTTTAAAAAAGTGTCCAATAGCTTTCATGATTTTTAAACAGATATTTCAAAAATTTAAAAGTAGTAAGTAGCTCAATCACTTATTTTTGGTCTTTTCTCACTGAAGAATTGTGATTTGAGAGATTTGAACCTTTGTGAGGATTGATGTTCACAGAGAAGTCAGTTGGTGTTTTAGTAGCTTTTAAAGACACATGAAAAGCAAAGCAGTACATACTGTGAGATACTGTTAGAAGGAAAATCACCAAACATTGCTTTTTGCATTGATGTGATTTCCCAAATATCCCTCACCCCTGCAGCATATTTCTGAGGAACCAAATCTTTTTCTTATTGAAGATTGCATGCTTTCCTAATGGATTGTAGGAGTGCTAATCGTTTTTTACTTAGTACATGTCTATATTAGCTTACAGACATAGTATTATCCTACAATTATGACTTAAGAATGAAGTGATCCCCTTAAGTAACTCCATATTATAGAGGTGGGTCAGAAGAGGTATTTCCACTTTTTTTTTTTTTTTTTTCCCCAAGACAGGGTTTCTCTTGTGTAGCTTTGGAGCCTGACCTGGAACTTGATCTGCTTGATCTGTAGACCAGGCTGGCCTCTAACTCACAGAGATCCATGTCTGCCTTTGCTTCCTGAGTGCTGGGATAAAAGCATGCGCCATCACCGCCCTACTCACCTTTGTATTTTTATAGTTTTTACACAAGTCATTTATGTCACGGTAAAAATCATTTCTTATAATACTTGATTTTATACTTACAGACCAAAAGTACTGATTTTGTTTTGAGGGAAACTTCCTCTAGTTGTAGCTTTGTTTTCATAAGCACTTGGGGAACGCTATTTTTCCAAAGTGCTGACTTTTACATTTGTTCTTTGAAAGAATTTTTCCCTTGCTGTCCCTTTCTTCCTGGTCTGTGTCTGGTACTCAAGGCCAGGCCAGCATCTGTAATGATGAAAAGAAGGCTTGCTGATTAGAGAAGAAAAGTCAAGCAGGTTTAAGACTCATTTTCTTTGGAAAAGTATATTGAGGGTAGTTTGCAGCTGGCAAGATTTTCGCATTAGGTAATAGTCTAAAGTTAACAGTAGCATCAGGCCTTTAAAATTCTTCTTTTTTGTATTTCTGGAGGAGGGCAGTGGGAGTGCCTTACTGAGGCCTTCCTTGTGCTCATCAACATAGCAGCCTCAGCTGCCCCCTTGGATCCCCTGCCAGGGCTGCTATCATCTTCTGATCAAATATTAATGTGTGATCCTCTGCTTGCTCACTAATCCAAAGCCAATTAATATTATCTGTCAATTATTTACAGATCCTGAGGTGCAGAGGCAATTCCCGGAGGACTACAGTGACCAGGTTTGGAATGCGTAATTAATTTTTTACATGACAAAATTTATTTCAGAGTTGTTCAACATATTATTACTGTTCTCTTTACTGAAAGAGATAAATGAAATTTAGAAAGGAATAGAAGTGGTAATTAGGAACCAAAGACAAAAAGGAAAGCACAGTGAAGTAGGATTGAAAATATTATTATATTATTGCTAGATTTGGGGTGTTTCCTCCAGAAGGCCATGCACAGCAACTAAGCAAGAGATTCCACATTAGGAGCATCACTGCCTGTGGGTCAGTAGGAAATTCTTTCTGAGCTGCCTGTGAACTGAAGTTTTTTTTTTTTTTTTTTTTTAAAATATACTATTTAAGTAGTCAGGCAGTCTGACCAAAAAAGGAAAAAGCTTTATGACATTTCATGGAATTTTCAGTGGAGGTGACCCTGCCTGTTGTCATCTTGGAATAAGAAGGCACCTACCTACAGGGAGAAAGTGGCTTTGACTGTGGGAGGGAGTGCTAAGGCTGCTTGGGGGGTCCCAGCACTCTGGAACAATGGCACAAGTGTTAAGTTCTGATGTCATTCTCCTCTATAGTTGGTTCCAGGTTATATATTAAGGCTCCATTTTCTACCCCAAGGAATACTGAAGACACTTTGTAGCTTTATTTGGCTCATTGTATTTTTAGTTTAAATTTGTAATTTGACATACTTTTTAAATATTAAAAAAGCATCCTTTACAACAATGCTATCACACTTATTCTTGACAAGTTTATCAAAACTTTCACACATGGGATATTGTATGCAAAGCATGTTCCTATGCAGTCATTCAAGGTTTTCTGTTACAAGTCCTTGAGTGAGGGTAAGTGTAATGGAAAAGAAACATGCAGGGCAGTGGCAGCATCTTTATGTTGAGGCCTGTCCTAGAGAGAGCAAGAGGTCTAATATGCCTTTTTGAAACAGGGGTGACAGTGTGATTAGGAATATGAGCTAACCAGTGCAGTGACATGCTTTGTAACAAGGTGTTAGGATAGAAGAGTCTGGGAGAGTTGGACTGGTTTGCTTTGTGTTGACCTCAAGATTAAAATAAGATTTAAAAATAAATTAAAATCTCACCTCACCTCTCCTTCATCTTCTACTAGTAGAGTTAAAATTTTAATCATGTTTTAAGTTGCTATGAGATTAAGTTCTTTCAATTAAACAATATAATCCAAAGATTATACGATTTCAAGAAAATTACCAATCATCTTTCTATAGGATAAAAAACTGTTGCTTGTAATTTACTGATGGTTATAGCTCTTAAGGGAATGAGTTTTCTTTAAATCTTTTAAGTAGGTAAATAACCTTTGTAATTCTGACTGGAATGATCCAGGGAGGGACCATTCTGTAGGAAAAAACTTAGACTAGCAAGGTTACCATCTGGGTCTAGTCCTTCAAACTGAGTTCTTTACAGTTTCCAAAAGAAAAATATGAGTTTCAAAGTACATAACTTTAGAAACTGCATAGGTAATAAGTTTGTAACAAAACTCTAGAAAGTAGAGGTAAAGCAAAAAGTAAAATAAAATTTAAGAAGCACAAAGAAAATATAAACTGTTCTGGTCTTTTACTACTAAGAAGAAACTACTGGAACAATCTGGAGTTTTAGCATCTGTGTTCATTTCTCCTGAGTACATGTGTGTATTCATGTGTTTGAGGAGAGTGTATGTGCATGTACTATACATGTATAGATGTATCCATAGAGAAATCTAGACTGTTTTCTGCACTTTCATTGCAGGTCGAGTCCATTTGACTAATGTGATGTTAACTGCGTAGTGAATTTAGTCCTTTACCTTTGTCAATAGATGGCCTTGCACACATTTCCTCTGTCAAAGTTGGAATGATTGAAATTAGAGTGGGTATTTATGAAGTAGTAGGTGTAGTTATTGTAAAGGTGCTCACAGGATAGAGGCATTAGGCTTCTTCATTTTGGAGGAGTGACACAGAACCAGACTTGTGGACTCAAGGCAAACCTGCAAGAATGTGCACAACACAGTCTTATTTAGCATCTCCTCAAACTTAAGGTATATAATTTCCCTTCTTGACCCCCAAACAACTCAGAAAATGAAACATAAAGGCACTACTTGGTTTTTGAAGATATTATTTCCAACTTCCCCAAAATGTACTTGAGAATCAGAATGCTTATTTCTTATTTGCCTTTTAAAATCATTGATATTCTAATAGGCTTATTTTTTTACATTATCCTTTGTTTGAATAAACCAAATTATCTGTCTCTTCCATTATATCTATATCTTTCAAATTATGTCTCTCCCATATACCATTATAAAAGATTTTTAGAAATATTTCTATTTTTTGTAAACTTTAAGTACAGCATTTCAAATATTAAAACATTTATGATGTGGTCCTTAAGGAATGTTTAAGATAATTTACCATCCAGTATAGCACTTATTACTGTGCGGGTGTGAACACCCCGGTTCTCTCCTCCCAGACCCTCTCCCTTCAGTTTTCACTCCTTATTCGCCTAAACTACCAGAGCTTGTTTTTACATACAGTGTATTTCCCATGTACCCGCACACTTGATCAGAGACGCTGGCTGATGCTAGATGTTTTATTCTGTGTGTTCTTTGTACCTTACAGTAAAAGAATCTGTCACAAATTATTGTGCCTCACTGCTTTAGAAACTGAGAAAAAAGGGAGGTTAGATTGACATCTGTGACTGAATAATGATGACCAGCCTTTTGGCTCTCCTTGAGCCACAAAGCTAGCACTGCCTTTAGAGTGGAAAAAGAAGTAAGAAGAAAGGGGAGGGATAAAAGAGAGTTACAAATCTGTGCTCTCGGAGATGTATTACTGTTGGGCCAGTTGTCTGCATGGTATGATAATCCATTTTGATCTTCTCTGTCTTAATTGTCTGCTAAAGACAAATGGGCAGTAAAAGTTCATCAGTTTCATCTTTTTGCTTCTCGTTTAGAAGCAGAATAAATGATCCATCACTACAGAGGAAGCCTTTCTTTCTGTCACGGAAGTAATGCAGACCCAACACATTTTATTAAAATGTTTTTTCCCTCATTATTTCAGTCCTCTCAGCTCTGATAGATCTTACTGTTTCATAAAAAATGTAATCTGAAATGTAAATAAGGGTCTTGATACAGAAAGAAGAAGTAATGAGCAGCCTGAGCTACATTTTAGGGCTCTTGATTGTAATTACTGACAAAGTGATTTCTCTGTGCCCCATTATTTTTTCCTTCCTTAAGTTGTCTATGACACAGTCAGACCACAATGACATCTATGGTTTAAAAACCATTAAATCACTGTAGCACTCAATATTTCACTAAGATCTAGTGATTCTGCTATCTGTAAGCCGGAAAATACAGGCTTTGTTAATTCCCGGAAGAAGTACAATGCTTTTTAAAACAGCAAAACAAACAACAAAAACAGGAAAAGCAAGGGCTTTTCAGAGTTCACATTACTTACTCATCTGCTTTTGTTCAAAGCTTAACTAGTTTAAATACTAAAAACATCAACAGTGGTAGGGTTCTGACATGAAAAGGGTCTTGTACTTCTGGAAAAAAAAAATCTTCCAACAGATTATGTATGAGATGAAAAAAATTCTTTGTCTCATAAGTAATAAATAGGCAGTTTTTTATAGTTAAGGTTATGAAATTGATGGATTTTGAATTACTTTGGGTTATGGGAAAAGTCTTTTCTTTTCAGTCTCCAAAACTAAGCAGTAGAACATTCCTGTTCTAGGACAGAAGCATGATATGCAGTTCTCTCATTCTCAAAGTTAGCATGTTAGTCTGACACTGGAAATAAGAAAAACCATGACTATCTTTGAATCACAGATTAAACCATAGTTTTGTAGTCAACTAGGTGGATTTGTACTTTCATCATTTTGTTTACTCTGTTCATTGATAATTTTGGGAATAATTGGTAAAACTTTATTGTGTTAGTACTATTTTAATAAATACCAATTGAAATAAGATGGAAAATAATTGTTAAATTTATATGTTTGCAAATGATAATACTTTCATCAAAAGCCCATTATTGGTTTTAAAACAATATGTATTTTTCAGATTCATAATTGGTACTAATTATGATGTATGGTATACAATAGTATAAAGTAAAGGTATAGTAACCTGTCAGATATTTCCTTAAATAGCATTTTGCTATATCAAGTGAAACTGGTATTATACATGATTTTAAAGTGCACTGGTCATAATGTGATTATTTCTTATCATAAAACATGTATAATTATTAATTTGTTCTCACAGTTGAACTTTTTATAGCCCATTTGTTCTAAGAATGGCTGTTAGAGTTGAGGATACTACAAGTTACTTCATCAAGCTCATGTATATTATGATAAAATAGTGTCTTAGTGCCCTGGAAAGAGAGGTCTGTGTACACCTACCCACCCCTTTATATGAAGATTGCTATTAGAATCACAGGTAATTTTTCTTTCCACTGGCCCTGAAATACAGGTTATAATGAAGCCAACAATTTTTATGCACTTATAGAAACCATAAAAATTTTATGGAAATCCTTATATAGAAACTAACAGTGTTTCTTCTATAACTGTATGTAAGCCATGTAGAAACATGGTGTATTGGGAAAAATAAAAAAGTGATCTTTTGTGGTTTCAGATGGCCTATGTGATTTCAAAATTTCACTAAAATCAACTAAGCAAATTTAAAAAATAGACATCAACTTGATACTAAAAACGAATGCAAATATGTTGCATAATTTGGCCTGATTGTGATGGAAATCATCATCTTTAAGTAGTATGTAATTGTTTGAATATGAGTTTTCATGCTTGTGTTGCAGAAATGCTCTGAAGAAAGCACTTCCTAAGTTTCTTGTTATCCACAGATAACCTTGGTAAATTGATTCAAAGATTCTGATTAGAAAGACAATAGAGGTAGTTTATAAATGAGTATTATTGTGTTGGGTGGTGGTGGTGTACACCTTTAATCTCAGCACTCAGGAGGCAGAGGCAGGTGGATCTCTGAGTTAAAGGCCTCTGCAGAGCGAGTTT